CTCTCCCTAGCAAATAAGAGTCCCCCCCAAAACCCAGTAGATAAATGGTCAGAGAGGTTGCACTGAAAACCAAGAAAAGAGGAGGTAGAACTGGTTAACAAATGTGGAGGTTTAGCCTCACTAGTATCAGCAAAATGCAAGTTGAAATGAGGTGCCATATTTTGACTCTTTAAGTTTGGAATAGTAACATAAATAGCAATGGCCCTTTTGGAAACAGACAGCATGTCAAACACCATAAAAATTGTCCCTGCTGGTTTTACCCTTTAATTTTACTTCGGGAATTTCTCCTAAAGAAGTAATTCAAGGGGCGCCTGGCTGGCTCAGTTGGAAGGGCATGCGACTCTTGATCTTGGGGTCGTGAGTTCAAGCCCCACACTGGATGTAGAGAATACTAAAATAAACAAACTTTAGGAGTGAAGAGAAATAATTCAAAGTATGGAAAAACTGAAAGCAGAAGGATGTTCAACATGACATTCTAACTGAAAAAATTGGCGACGATTTCAAAAGTCAATAAGATAATGACTAAATAATTACAGGAAACCAATTTACTAGACCTTTACAGAGTTATTAATTTTTCATGACTATATAATGATATGTTTTATATTAAGTGGGAAAAGTGGGATACAAAACAGTATACATACACTGTCATATAAATTTTGTTTAAAAAAACGATGTGTTTGTCGATTATATTCAGTATATATTAAGTGGATGGAAGAGAAACTGGAGGAAACCCCATGAAGTGTTAATAGTAACTTCACTGGGTGATGGGAATTTGGGAAACTTTCATTTTATATATTTTTCTGTATTTTCTACATTTTTTACCTAGACCATGCAATCCTTTGAAAATCAGAATTAAAATCAAAATACTATTTGTTTTCAAAAGTAAGGCATCAACTCGGATGTAGCTTATAATGATGTTTCTAAATTACATGAGAAAAAAGACTAGCAAGAGAGATAGGATTATGGGTGGGGTTTTTTTTTCCCTTCTTTGTTTTCCAAGTTGTTCCTAACGTGGCTGCAGACCTTTTAGAATTTGGAACGTGTATATAACAATGAATGGCATGGTTGGACATAAGTGCTGCGAAAGGCAGAGGGGAAGGCAAAGCAAGATGTGTGGGGTTCGACTTTTCTGGACTCCCTTGAAGGTCAAGGTGACGACCCATGTGTATGAGGGAGGCCTGTGAGGTTGCTCAGAAGATGCTGACCTGTGAGCAGCCTGGGTCTCTTATAGACCCCACCTTGCTTTCCCAGCTTCTCACTTCCCAGTTCCTGGTGTTTAAGGTCTATCGGAAGGTTTCCTCCTCACTCTCCAGAAGCTTTCACAAGATGCTGGAATATTATTATTGCATGGGTTTGAGCATTGAGTCCACTTTGTGCTCTTGAGTGTAGGGACCCCAGGTTCTGATTCGGTTTCTCTGAGAGTGGATACAGGGACCCAGGGTCTGTAGAAGAATGACAGCCATTTGCAAGGACAAGACTGGAGGGGCCACAAACGTTCAGATCCCGAGAGGCCCCCAGTTGAGGACAGTTAGTGCATGTTGCTCATCCCAGGCCAGAGTGGCCATCCAGTCTTTAAAAAAAAATAAAGGAACAAAAGAAAAAAAAGAAAAAGGGATATAGCCATTTCCTTAAGTACTGTTTGAATATTTGTTTAAGTGTGGAAAGTAGGTTTGAATCCTTTTCTGGATTTCAATTTTAAATAAATATTTAATTTGTAAATAAAAGTGAGATGTGGTTCTTTAAAAATGATCTGGTATTTAAACAGTGCTGTAGTGGGCTGGTTGAGAGGAGCTTGGCTGTGCGTGGCTGAGGGCAAAGCCCTGAAAGGAGGGAGGAACTGACAGAGGTCTACTAATCCAGTAGAAACCAACCCTTGAGTAGAAAAAGGAATGTCTTGGGTGTTCATGCCAGACAGTTGAGGAAAAAGAGATCCAGCTGCGGTTGGGAATTTCCTCCCCATTAGGTGAAGCAGACAATTGAAAGTGCTCGGCCTAAGGCAAGGTCCAGGTGAAAACTGCCTGCTCCGGCCTTTCACAGCAAGAAAGGACATCACCAGAACCAAGGGTGGGCCCGGTCAGTGCTCCCAGAGTTTTCACTCCAGTGATCCTGGGCAAGTTAGAGACCTGTGCTCTGCTTTAGCCTGAGGGAAAACCAGAGTCAGCAAACCCAGTTCAACTCAGCAAAAGTTTGTTGATCGTATGCAACCTTTCAGGGATTTTGCTAGGCACAGAGGAGATGACAGAGATGGACCTTCCCTCACATTGTAAACACTCTGGTTGGATAAAAGGATAAGTATGAATGTAAAGCAACGTCCTCTTTTTGAGGAATAATTTTGGAAATAAAATCCCACATTTGGGGCATAAACAACAGGCTAATGCAAAAGAAGCCCAATTTGGGGGCGCCTGGCTGGCTCAGTCAGTAGAGCATGCGACTCTTGATCTCAGGGTCATGGGTTTGAGCCCCACGTTGGGCACAGAATTTACCTAAAAAAAAGAAGCCCAATTATTTATACGTTTTCTTTTTCTTTAGGTATAATTTTAAATTCTTTTAAATACTTGTAGTCCCCTCCTTTTGAATTTAATATTGTCCTGAAAATGTCCTCTAAAGTAGGATGTCAGCCTCTGGAGGGAAGGAACATTTACCTGACACATTCACTGTACCTAGAACAGTAGTCAGACAATAGGTAGACAGGTTCCGAGGGGTGTTCTGTCTCCCAGGAAGCTAATTATAAACTTCTTAAGTGCCTTTCACCTTTGATACAGTCTTCTGAGATGTATTTTCAGTGTTCCATGTGGTCTTTATTTTTATGCTCTTGTTTCACATCTGAACATAACGTCCGTGAGCATCTGGCCGAGCCTGAGGAATCATGCTTGCAGCATCCCCCTTGGTTTCCATCTTGACGTCTTTGTGATCACTCCACTTTTAGTCACCAGCACTCCTGTTCTCCCATGTCCCACTAATTGCAAAATGCAGTGAGATGCTGAAATCTTCTGGATGAGCACGGCCATACTGACAAAGAAGGGGATGCCGCCAACTCACCGTTTATCAGATGATTTTCCAAAGCTCACCATCTTTATTCTGAAAAGCAGTGTAGGGATGCAGCAAAAAAGTCTCAGTTCAGGAGTCTAGTGTTTCCAAAGCTGAGGACAGCCTCGAATGGCTTTTGCTATACCTGGTAGCTGCTCAGCCGAATTTCAGGCAGACCTAGTAATGAGAGAAAATAAATAGCCTTACAGTGAGCCAGGCTTAGAAGCCCAAACCTACAAATTTGCAGCCAGATGTTACCTTTATAAACTTGTGACTTAACCTCTTCACAAAGCTTTCTGTGAGCAAGGCTGAGAATCTTAGAATACACTAAATCCGTGTTTGTGAACCTGACAGCGAAGGGCCCAGAGGCGTGTGTGTGCCTGGTGGGCTAGGTGCTGTGTGAATCCTTCGGGTGCTGGGCTCCAGGTCCCCTTCTTCCGCTCTTTTCTCCTGAGGCAGAGCCCACGCTGGTGCACTAACCTGCAGCATCTCTGTGCTTCTCTTCTTACCTCCTCTTTCCCCTTCTCTTTCCCTTTCGCTGTGGTGTGTCCAGAAAAGGAAGTCGAGTTCCAGCGTGCACCTAATGGTGAGCCTTGCCTGCCCACCCATCTGCCTACTCCATGCTGCCTGCACCCGCCTGCCAGCCACGCAACCCCATTCTGCCATGTGCGTGTACTTCACTCATCCTCACTGCATGTCTGTGCTGTATGGGCACGCGTGGCCTGTCCTGCCAGGCGGGGGCTGCAGCCCAAGGTCTCCCGGTGGCCTGACCGGTGGGCATCGGAGTGTACGGTGTGCCCCGCCCCC